CGCACCTGTCCAACGGATGCCCTGGGTTTAATTACAGGCAATCTGCCACTGTGTATTCTGATTGAGAGGAGGCCTGCTGAAGCGCCCTACAGCTGCCCAATACAATCAGCATGAAAGGTGGTAGATCAAGCCATTTCTGGATGATCACGCTATCAAGCTCACAAACTCATGCTACGGAAATCATCATCGAGTTGACTCAAATGCGCTTGCATTACCCAAAGCCTTTTTACGATACTTTGAAAGGGTACACTGCAGAGTTACTCAGTAGTTGGGAAGAATNATCTGCCACTGTGTATTCTGATTGAGAGGAGGCCTGCTGAAGCCTCACAAACTCATGCTACGGAAATCATCATCGAGTTGACTCAAATGCGCTTGCATTACCCAAAGCCTTTTTGCGATACTTTGAAAGGGTACACTGCAGAGTTACTCAGTAGTTGGGAAGAATCTAAGATTGTTGTCCACTGACGGAAGTCAAAAGGAATGAGTCAATCAGAGAAATTCATAATTTCTTCAAGGAGGAACTCCAAAAGACTCCTTTAACTTAGCCGCGACGGTCTTAGACCCTCCTTGGCTACCTATATTTCTCTCACTGTTTGGCTGATCCCGATTCTGTGCAAATACAACTGGCCTAACTGGCTTAAGTATGCCTCTCTGCCGGACTGTACGATGTGGAAACCACCGTTGCCTCTCTTCTGAGCGAATTTACACCATTTATTTATGCCAAGTGCAGACACTCTTGGTCCTACCATTTTGTTCGTGCGCGCCCTTGTTTTCGTTGCCCACCCATCGGACCGTCGTCATCCATGCACACAACATGACCAGCCAGCGCAGGAGCTATTCTTCGCTTCGAGGAAAGAGAGAATAAACGGATTTTGGGTGTTAATTGCCCTGATACATTAGTGTTAGAGTGATAGAATGCTACAAAAAAGTCTTTATAATAATAAGGTAGCCTCATCCGGGCAGTTTCCTTCAGGCGGGATTTTTTACTATGTAGAAAGCAGGGTAGCTAGNCCTCGGTCTAATGCAATAAGCTCAGCCCTCACGGCACTGTGCATCACATGAGCTCTACGAACTACTCCATCGGCTACTCTAGAAGAAATACTTGGTCTGCCATTTATCGGCGAGGTATCTTACTGCTAAAATCGTAGAAAGATTGACTGCAGAGCCCTCGGGCATAGCACAATCGGGGAAAGATGAGCTGCGTTATAGAATTGGGAAAGAAAGTGGCGAACATCAATGAAGGAGGATGGAACAGGTGAATAATACCTACATGGGAGTACATCTTTTAATATATTCAGAGGTGATTCTAAAATTTTAAATGAAGTAGGTGTTGGAATTTTCTACTAGGAACTGAACATCGGGCGGGTAATAAGGTAGCCTCATCCGGACAGTTTCCTTCAGGCGGGATTTTTTACTATGTAGAAAGCAGGGTAGCTAGCCTGGAAACGTTTCGGACTCTATCAATCCGAGAAGTTAGAAGTCTCAAAAGTAGATTGGGATGACACGAAATTCGCCACAGGTATTTATATTCTAGGTTATTTCGACTTCAACTCATTAGAATCAGACTCCATATGGTATCGCTGGAGTTCAACCGGCCTATGTATTGCTTATTGCCTAACCTATCCTATAGCCTGTCATCTTACACCCTAAGGAGTAAAATACGCTCGAAACTTGTATTTGCTACTCACTGAAAAGCTTTTGCCATTAAATCACACGGCAAGGGAGTTATTCGCATACCGAAGAAAAACAAAACTCAATAAATTTCTTTTAACACTCTATCTCTCATTCGTCGCGAAATTTCTATACCACAAGAATGTCGAGAACTTTCATTATGTTTTTGTTTTTCGCATGACTCTTCAGATGGGAAATTTCCTCTTCCTGGGACCTCAGTCTACTGCAATAGTTTTGGGGGAACTGTATTAGTGCTCTCCGTGCCGCCATCCAAATAGCACACTTCTGGCCTACTCAAGCGTACAATCCGTACTCCGGCCGCTGTAGCGATCCAGAATCTTGGTAGTCATGCAACGGTCGGCGTGAGCTCTTTTATCTGGATCAGCAGGCGTTGCAGTTCTAGCAAGAATAATTGCCTTACTTGCACTGGCGTTACATTCAAAATCCACATCCACTGATTGCACCTAGGTCTCTATCCCCTGAGATCGGCGCAGAGAATGAGGTCGGTTTCAAAACTCCTACGCCCGCTGTTTAGACGGCAGTTGGTCTCCAGAAACGCGATAGGCTTTCGCTTCTCTTCAACTTCCTTTCATCGCTCAAATTTTTGGTTTAGGTTTAGGTTTAAGTTTGTTTTTGGTTAGATTTCATGGAAAAAAGTTCGCCACTAAGAGCCTCTATCAAACCTCGATGTGTAGTCGGTCGTAAAGAGGCTTCATGCCAGCCAGATTATTTAACCTTCAGGATTTGTGTTTCATTCGGAGGAAATTCTAATGGAACGACGTGGCAAGCTGTTGCTTTACCTAGACCGTATTCTATATATAGTCCAAAGAGTTTTCTTTAGGTTGTACTTGAGGTCCTTAATTTTTGCTCGGAGCTCATAAAAAGTCGCTATGGTTGGCAATGAATTGTCAAGCAATTTGTCAAAGTTTCAGTGCCGTCGATATAAAAGTTCAATTGAATCAAATTTCTCTGGTCAAAGTATTCAATATCGGGACATGGGACTTGGCTGTGAAAATTCTAAGGCTAAAGACAGTCCGATGGTAGGGTTCCGTTTGGGGTTAGATGCCGGCAATCCAGTATCAAAGAACCACCAGGTTTTTGTGGAACATGTTCAACTCCGTGGGTTAAATTCCTGAACAAAACCAATAAAAGGCGGAATGGGAAAGACCTGGCCTCTGAAAAAGTAATAAAGTTAAGTAAAACGTAATAAGAACAAAATAAAATAAAATAAAATAAAGTAAACTTAAATTAAATTAAATTAATTTAAGTTAAATGAAATTAAATTAAATAAAAAATTTAAAAAATTAACTAAATTTAATTAAGTTAAACTAGATTAAATTAAATTAAATTAAATTAAAATAAAATAAAGTAAAGTAAGATCAAATGAAATGAACTTAAATTAAGTAACGAAAAAAAACACAAATAACTTAAAAAGTTAAATAAGTAATTAAAAGAAAGTAAATAATAAAATAAAATAATATAAAAACATAATATAAAATAAAATAAAATAAAATAAAATAAAATAAAATAAAATAAAATAAAATAAAATAAAATAAAATAAAATAAAATAAAATAAAATAAAATAAAA